TTATAAAGTATGATTTGTTTATTTAAAAAATATTTATTTATTTATTCTTTATAAGTATTTTCAGTTTAAATTTTATTCCTAAAATCTCTAGGAATCCATCACCTACATCATCCACATAAGTACGCCAATTTTCGCAAAATTTTAATATAGAAACTATATTATTTTATTTTTGGATTAAATAAAGCATTAATATATTCAGAATTATCTCATTTTCTAGAAATTTCGGTTATTTGGATATTTAAATAAAATATTTTTATGTAGCGAAGAATTAGACATGTGACATGAACGTCACAAACATAAGCCACATGACAATAGAAACTTATGTAACGATTTGCATCATGGTTTATAAAGAATGTTGACTGTTTACACCCTCTTTGATGTCCCTACACGTTTTATTGACGTAACAGATATCTTCTCTTTCAATTGAAATTTTATGTAACGTTGTTTTTATCATTTACAATACACAATTCAAACTTATTTTATTAATGTAAAAAATAATGTTACTTGAATATCAAATTTTTCATTAATAATTTATTAAACTTAAAAATAATTTTAAACATTTGCATTCGAATTATTTAATTTTATATAATTTAATTACAAATTTGTATCAATTATATCTGTATACAGTTTAATTACATAATTAAAACTACACTTTAAATGTTGGTAAATAAATGGTATATCCTTGAAATTAAATTAAAGGAAATTTTTGTCTTAATTATTATTTGTTTATACGAAATTATTTTTTATCTTGAAATGTCATAAAATCGCTGTAAATTATCATATAGCCTATAATATGTGCTAAATGGGCTCAATATATGCTCAACCCGGACTTGACTGCAAATATACAGTTAAACTGTATATTTGCAGTCAGGACCGGCTTGAGATTTTGTGGATCCTTGGAAAAAAGTTACTAGTGGAGCCCAGAATACTTGCAATGTGGGGCTCCCTGTACTTGCAAGTGACTTTTGTCATTGCAAGATAAAGGGACAGATAATCAAAATTAATTTAATTAAAATATTTCCAATATCAATACATCTCTGAAACATCAAAAATTCTATTATCAAATTTTCTTACAAATTTAAAAGTGCGAGGATTTTCTGAGCGCGGGGCCTTGATCTGAGGTCCGAAAAACCGATGTCTGAGTCGATCCTGCAGTTATATTTATGCTAATGAAAAGTTGATTATGAACAATGTGATAAATCTCGTGATTTTCCCGATAAATTTTTCGTGAAGATCACGAGGTAGGATGTAAACTTTTCTTTTTCTTACTGTAGAATAATGATTTTAGAACAGTAAAATTATTTTAAACATAAATTTTTTCAATAGTATAATTGTACTAGCAGATAAGCCCGGCATTGCTCGGGCAAAAAGTAACGATAGCGAAGATTAAGATTATTACATTACAGCCGATCTTATCCGTTTTCACGGAATGCAAGAATTAGGCCCCCCTGTTTCCAGACTAATTAAAAATTTTTTAGATGGTCTAAAAATATGTTCGATTTCCCGCAAAAACGCAAAAACACCGCATCTGCGCCTGTAAATCTAGTACGTTGCTTTCTCTTAACACTAAGAATATACAATACTGAGAATAAATTCTTAGTATTGTATATTCATGCAGTTATTAGCTTTTTTCTTAATTTACTTAGAGACTACCCTGAAACAATCATTAATATAAATCACTCTTTTTTACATTCTATATACTTTCTTTTAAAACTCATATTGACAATGTCGTACGAACTCTTATATTTATATATTTATTATTAAATTGTTTTACCTGACAAGATATTTATTTATAAAGTAATGCTTTAATATAAAAATTTAATGTTAGTTTTTAAAATAAACTAATTTCCAAAAAATAGCAACCTATAAATTTGCTGACATTGATTTAGCTCTTAAATAATTAATTGAGTTATTTATCGATTGGGAATGGAATTTCACAAATTTATTCTATTCATTGACTAAACATTGTTAATAAATAATAATCAATCTTAGTTATATCAGCTGCTATACAGATATAACTCAAATAGAGTAAACACGCAACTAGAGTAATTGTACGTTGTGTTTACAATCGAATCATTAACAACTTTATGACTATTATTACATTAGTAATGTATCAGTATATCTCTCTAGTTTATTAGATATTATCAGAGACGGCCGTATAGCCGAGAGAATAAGGTGACAGCTTAACATATGTCGGGCCTCGTCCCTCGTCATTTCATCCGATTTTGGGCCTAGCCGAACCCATAATGGTCCTGTTAAAAATAAGATCCTATTGGTGCCCATAAGGTTGAATTTTTAAAAAGATATATATTATGGAGGATATTATTGAGCGCACAATTTTACAGAAAATCAAAATATACTTCGACTCTGTTGGGTTCAATTTAAAAATATGATTAAAAATTGCAGTCCAGACCAGAAAAATATTTGTTCGTATTCTATTTATGTTTTATATTTTAATTTTGTGATGATTTCTGGATTTTTTTTTATTGGCATAAATTATAATTTAATGATTTTGAGCCGTATTAAAATGTGTACAAACGGTTTTTGAATGTTTTTCATTGGCGATCTTCATTTTTCTTACGACGCTTGAACGATGACTTACATTTTAAGTACTTGATAAGTTACTGAAATACCCGAGAAACATTCGAAATAAAATTAAATCATTATTTAAAAATTCATTTTTACTTTATTGATATTCTTTAATTTTAATATAAATTTGAAGACGGTATTTGCATTACATGAAATAATAATATCGTTCTTTGCCTTAAAGATTTTTGTCTAGACTTGATTTAAAATTCGTTCGTATTATTTAATAATAGAAGTATAAATAATTTCATTCTATATTCCAAATGTTGTTAGCATTTTTATTGTTAATGAACATTATTTTAATCGGTGTGTAAGCGAGTAACTCGTTCCATTTACGAGTATAACTTACCTCTAGTTGCTGTAAGAAAGAAGGAATTCATTAATTTGTGTAATTAAGATTGAGATAATTGATACAACTGTATTAAATCTATTAAATTTTATCAAATATACTAACATACAGTATACTCTCCGTTAACCGGAACTCAAGCAACAGACCAAAAAAAATCAAAGAAATAATACTTTAGAAATTAAAATAAAAACAATTTCTAGTGAATATTTAAATTAAAAATTATGTTAGTGAAGTTCTGCCTTTAACTGAAACTACACACTGCATTCACAAACCTGTGTTTATAATAAAAGTGTTGTCTTTGTCTTAATTTGCTTTTGATTACTGTATTTCAATATTAATATAAAGTAAATACATAGTTTATGGTATGGTATAACACGGGATATAGTATTGGGCTTTTTTATACTAAATCTTAATCAACCAGAAACTTAATTTATCTGGCATCTACCAATCCCCACAGGAGGTATTTGAAAAACAATACAAGAGATATGAAATTCAGAAAATGACTTCATTATATACCGATAGAGATCTCTAATGACAAATTTAAAAAGGTCTGTAACGAAACATTTTCTGGATTCATTTAGTTAAATGTACTGTACATAAGCTTACGTTTTCATATTCTTAATTTATTTAATTTAAATATATGATCTCGATCTCAAATTAATTTAATACAAAATCAGCTGAATATTTGTGAAGTTGTGGCAAATCTTTCTCACCGGAAGTGTTTGAATTTATAACTATAACCATACGTTAATTTTGTTATTGCAGCGAAGACACGTGCACTCATTTTAAAGCAATAATTGCATTGTCTAAGATACACTTCTCATTAGCCCTGTTATTCCATTTGGAAAACGTGTTCATTTATTCCTATTTTTGATTAACGGAGCCAGAGCCAAACCCTTAACTACGTCGTCAAAACATAATTTTTCGCATATTTGTGTTGGACAATAGATTCGGGAAGGTGTTCAAACATTGTAATAGAGTTTCATTAGTTATTTCAACGTAACATAGAAACGAAATATTTGAATTTCGTATAAATCCCGATTATATTCATTATTCGATGCTAAATCTAAATGCATAAATGATTCATAAGGTCGTCCTCGTCTTTAATATAGAAATGTTACGAAGGCAACCAAAAATGGCCCTTTGCTCTTCAAAAAGTACAGATTATTCCTTCATATATTATTGCTAAAAACAATAGTTCCTATGGAACTGTGTTTCGGGATTATTTGTACGCGTATCCGTTTCTTCGTAATCAAATAAACGTTCTCGTTTTCTCCATCCGAATACAAGAAGAATTTTTTTTTACCATTTTCTGCGTTATATATGCTTAAACGTTATACAGGGAAGCTACTGTTGTTTAATGCATTTCCTGTGAGCACAACGTCATATTACCGCGAAAAGCTTAAAAAATCAGAAACTAAACTCCTGAAGGGCGGACCACCTTTAGGCAGGGGCCCGTTGCCCGACTCTAACGGCGGCACCGAACAAAGCCAAACGTTTCCATTGCTTCGAATGTAAAAGTGGACGCACACATTAGCAGATGCAGTGCCAGCAATTCAAAGGTTTGTTTGTTTGTTTAGTTATGGCAACGAAACACTTGGGCGATCTGCCTAGGGGGATGCCTTCCGGGAGGTATTTTAAGGGAAACTGGCCCCTATTTAGGCGTTACAGACGTGGAGAAAACCCGGAAAACTCCGCGTAACCAGCCCGTCCGAGCGAGGGGCGCGAACACACGACTGAACTCCCAGTGTTCACGGTAAGAAGATCGCTTGGCCACTGGTGGGCCTTCGGGGGTTTCTCCTATCGCCTGACGTAAAAATCAATGGTTAATTCGAAGAGTTAAATTTGGTCGCATTATATCTTGATTTATTACCGTAATAACCGGTTGAAAACAGTTTGGAACAATTTATAAGGTAATAATTGTATGTGACTTAGAAATAATTTAATGCCAAATCAAACCAAAGACTTTATTACCGAGACAATTCTTTATAATCACACTTATAGCATTCAACAAACTATCTTAGAACGAAAATTTACAAATTCTAGAACAGAATCAGGACCGAAGTATTGCAAAAAATGTCTTCTTCTATGACTTTAATTGAATAAAATTATTCAGCAACTGTTTCAGGTTTTTGAGTTCTCCAAATGCATTTTTATCACAAAACTTCATATCCTGAAAGCGACAAACAATACTTAACGACATTTATTTAAATTTGTAATTTCCTATTAATAATTCCACTTGCGGTTTCGTAAAGCGTTTCGTTTAAAGCGATTTTTATCCGGAAACTTTCGTTCTTCGCAAAGAATTTTACAAAGACTTCTTCTGTTTCGTGTATCAAAACTTCGTTTTTCACGTTCAACGGACTTTCGTTGAATTTAGACGTCACAAACAATGGACACGATTTGAGAAAATTAAATACGAGTAAAAACACAATCCAGGAGAGTCCAAGTTCCAGGGATGACAGAAATTGGGAGTCAAATTTGAGCACAGACACAAGCCGGAAGAGTCCAAATTCCAATATATACAGGATTCTGGAGTCAAATTCGGGGTAGACTTAATTCGGGAAAGTCCAAATTCGAGTTCAGACACGATTTAGGAGTCAAATTCGGGGATGTCGTAATTCGGGAGAGTCCAGATTCGTGAGGTAGACATAAATTGAGAGTCCAAGTTCGTGTAGACCAATTTGGGAAATGATAATTCACTACAAGGCAAGAATGAGGAGACACAGCCGGGACAAAGTCAAAATTGGGAAGTCATAATCGAAATTGGTATTGACGCAATCGGGATGTCAAAATCAGAAGAAGTCATCGATGATTTTTAGTAAAAACCATATCTAAAAGTGAATGAAAAACCAATATTTTAATTTTTACTTATAAATTGAAAATTATTTTTGCAATTTTAAAACTTTACTTTTCAGGAGCTTTTTAGATTTTATTGATTAATTTTTAAACTTTATAATTTCTTTTTGTTATTTTTTGAATATTTTTAAATGTACAACAAACGACGAAAACAAAGAAATATTAAATGAAAACAAAATTAAGAATATTATTTCCTTCTAAAATGGAAATAAAGTTACATGCCAAATGATATTGCTTACCGCAATTAATTGCATATTGCCACGTGTCATGTAAGTATCAAATATATCATTGTCAATTCGATTATTTTTGGATGTCCCCGTCCTCGTAATCACGTAAGATTACTGGAGAATTTAATTTCTACATTCATTTATACTATTGCTTTCGCTGTGTCAAGAGACCAGCAACTTACACCCCACGATGTATTATTGTGAGTACTTGGACAGGAATATACAGGCTATGTATGCCCGATACTCTAAAAACATGGGTTTTTTTTAGGTACGATCTCAATCGCATCAAAATATAACCACACTAATACCGTACATAAATATTGTCCGGCCATTAATTGCGAGTTTTTATGAAATAGTGGTCAGAAATTGTGTTAATTTATAAATGGAGACCGTAAAATCTCCCAAGTGTTTGGTGCAGAATACAATAAACACTTACCCAAAGCCAACTCGGCCCAAATCCAGCAAATAATTTATGGCAAATCACAGAGCGGAATCTTATTGTCGATGGACGGATGGAAGCCAAGAGATCTTTACTCGAACCGAACGTACTCGCATTCTCCACTTTTTGCCATTTTACACACCTTCTGCACGGATCTAAATGTAGAAAAAGAAGTATAATTATTCATCGAAAACGTATAACTCGATTTGAATTCCATTAAAACATATTGCGGCGCTATATCGATCGGCTGTAAATGTTGCCTACAAAGAACGGAAGTTAGATTATGAAATTTTCTACTAATTCATTGGTTCGGTGACGTTTTGAATTCAATTTTTCATTTCTATCTTATCAGTAATGACACTGGTTGGCGGACGAATAGGCCGATACAGCGCCGAACAACACGGGAAAGTTATGCAATTCGCAAACATTTCCAACTCAAATTTGTGTTTAGATCTTAATACTATAAAAATTGTTGGTGTAATCGATACTTGGGCTTAGCGCCACACTCGATTTATTGTCAATTTCAGAGTGCTAAATCGAACTTTGTTGGCGCGTACAAAATCTTACCTCTTAACGGGTTTCCACATGCTTTTAAAGAACGACCCGACTTTCTTCAATGTATTTCTATCCCTGTAATGGCCAGGATTATCTTGCACGCAGTCGTCGTGCTCCGCCGGGTCTTCGTCTGCTTCGATGTTTCGTGGAGGAACCGCGCTTTCCCTATTGTTCACTCCTTCATCCTCCACATCTTCGACCAATCTCTCACTAAACAAGGAAAGAAATACAATAAATATATAATTTTCAAATTGAATTACGATGAATATTTAAAAATGGTAACACTTGGAAAATATTTTCTTTAATTTCCCACGAGGGTAAGAAAGTATTAAACTTATTACTATTTATTAGAAATTAAGACAATGATTCCTCGTATTTCTCACAATAATTTCCTCGTTAAACAGCTCATACATACAATATACACAAGTTTATTATATACAAACAGTAATGTAATTTACCTGTTAAAACGCTGGCAGGCCGTCTGACAGATTGGTCGAACCTTCATCACAGCTTGTCTATAAGCCGGCTTGATGTTATTTTCAAACACGCCCAAACCTTCGAAAGCACCGGTCGAGGGTTCGAACTGCTTCGAGAGGCCTTTCTTCATCTTGCTGCCTCGAAATTTAAAATAATCCAAATTGTATGGACTGACGAATCTTCGCACGTCCACATCCAATCCCTCCCTAAATATGCAAAGAGAAAATTTACAATACAATAACTATTTAATTCTACTCTCAAACTAGGTTAGATTCTCGTGCTTTTAAGTTTATTCGACAGAGGGGAAGAACCTTTTATAAATCGACTAGTCTAAATATTTTTCTGTTATTTAAAAAAAAAGACATGTCAAATATATTTATTAAGCGAAGTTTAAAATTTTAGTAAATTTCGTCATATTAACGACTCTTCAGTACTAGAGTTAGACCTAATCCGTGATATAAAAGAGGCCCGATTACTCGTTTAAACAACATTAAATTGAAAAGCCCTAAATTATCTTCTTAACACCAGGCCCTGAACTGTGCCTTATAAAGCCCTCTATTTCAGCCCTCTATTGCGGTCAGCAATACAGGAAGACAATGTAAAGTCGCAATCTTTACATTTAATTTAATTAGGCCTAATTATATATTGTAGATGGAAGTTTTTCTTTAAAGCCTTTAATTGCTAAAACCAATTTCTTATCCGAATAAATAGCAATGAAATGTCTCTTACCCCGGAGGATGGGGCAGGGGTCGATAGTCTCTACCATCAAAAAACATCTTCGAATCGCTTTCCAAATCGCACTCTTCCTATTAACAAGAGCAACACTACGCAACAACAACAACTTCAATTGTTGAATTCGTTTGTTACGCGTTAAACAAAAAAAAAAAGCGGAAATTTAATGAACAATTTTGGATTTTTTTAAATTATAATTTCAGAATCTGACGCGTGTATAATAAAGTTTAAAAAGCCACGTCACACCGGTGTGAGGATAGGGGTTCGAAAAATGCACGTGGTGGTGCTGACGTGATGGCGGAACGAAATACAAACATGTAAATATAAACATTTTGAGTTAACCAAGACCGTACACGGGAATATAAAACGAAATTAAAGCAAATACTTAACGAAAATACAACAAGAACTTGATATTTATACCGTAATATCGGGAGAGATGATTACTTAAAGGCCATTTCTAGAAATGATTCTATATAGGCCTACATAATTATAAAACAAAGCGTGCATTGTAAAGTAGATCTGATGAATCATACCCGCCGAATAACTATTTAGTCGACAACTTGAATATTAATTAAAATTATGCTTAATGTCACCAGGAAAGTCGTGCTAAAATTCCGTTAGTTCCCTTCAAATTTTTATATGCTTAACAGTGTCTTGCCCCTGTACATCATACTCTTCCTGATAACAGCAGTCATTCCGGTCATCTATGAGACTCTGTTCAGAGGAATTTATTTGAATTGAAATCACGTGATTTCCGACACAAACCGAAAGTTTATGTAAAGTTAATTGGGCCTCCTGCCCTCACGCTTTTCGTATCTAGTCTCGAATTTCATCTATTTAACACCATTCTCGAGATTAAAAAAGGACAAACAGACAACGGACAATATTGGAAATTTATAAGTCTACATTTTTTTCAAATTGCATCCCAACGAGCGTTATTAGCATTATATTCTTTTGTTTTAACGTATTCTCATTAAATTATGTAATATAACTCATGCTTCAGAGCTCTTAAAACGATTGCAACTATCTACATATAAATTCCGTTCTGCATTATAAAAATGTGTTCTTCATTTATGTGAAGAACTATTCGATATAATGGTAAGTGCTCTTAATAAAAATTTAATTTTGCAAATATTAGCTGTAGCATTTTTACACTAGTGGAGTCTCGGCCTAAATAAATCATTAAATTTCGCACATGTTTAAGTTCTTCACACCATGCAAGTAACTAAATTCAGATACTCGATTTAGTAACTTTCTTTAGTTACTATGCTCGTATAAATTAGTCATTAGAGTTAGAAATGAACCTATAAGTGTTCAAATATTAAAAATAAAGTGAACTATAATTGGCTAATTACTAATTCTAACCTTTGACTTTAGTCGTGAATACTGCTCTAAGGGAATCGTTTTGGTAATGATCATGAGTTCAATTGGATCTTTAATAACTCGACCTTTAATCACCAAAATTTAATAGCATCAATCCCCTAATACACAAACCTCCCTGCAAACTTTCTGAAATTTTCGACAAAAAACACAGGAGTTATTAAGCTTCAAACAGGATGAACAAAATCGTACCTACCAAATACAATAACATCCATACATATAGAAATTACCCCCGAATTTTTTTTTGCATTTCTCGACGTTTCAAGTTATCAAGTTAAAAATGTAAAAATCTTGGGAGGATCATTTTNCTTTAATTTGGTCTACTCGACCCAAATCTTATTATATTGATGTTTAGCATTCAAGGAAAAAACATGCACATGAATAAAAATTCGATCTTTATTTGTTAGTTTATTGTGTGTTTACTGTCTGTTTCTATATAAAAAATCGTTCATATAATTGGAGACCTATAAGTTCACCCTCTATTCCCATTGTTCTTTAAATGGGCCTTAAAAATAAATTTTGCCTATGACAGTTTCTGCTTGTCCTAAAAAACTTGTACTGTTCGAAACTCAAATCTGCCAAGACGGAAACTAATTCGTTACGGTGTGATTCCGGTTTACACGGGTGTTCACTGTGTAAATATTAAGTAAACTTACAAAAACATGAAATAAAATATTCGAGAATTGATGAAGAACGTAGTGAATCATTAATTTGAAAGGTAAATGATGCGATGTGAAAAGAGCAATTATTTATTGTGACATCGTCACAATTTTTAACCATATTCTTAATTTATTTAATTTAAAATATATGCTCTCGGTTTCAAATTAGTAATGGCTTGCCCCTGTACATCATACTTTTCCTGTTAGCAATAGAGTCGTGCCGGTCAACTATCTAACTCCTTTCGGGGAAAAATTCTTTATTAAAATCATATAACTTCCGGTCTAGACCGGAAGTTATATGATTTTAATAAAGAATTTTTCCCCGAAAGGAGTTAGATAGTTGACCGGCACGACTCTATTGCTAACAGGAAAAGTATGATGTACAGGGGCAAGCCATTACTAATTTGAAACCGAGAGCATATATTTTAAATTAAATAAATTAAGAATATGGTTAAAAATTGTGACGATGTCACAATAAATAATTGCTCTTTTCACATCGCATCATTTACCTTTCAAATTAATGATTCACTACGTTCTTCATCAATTCTCGAATATTTTATTTCATGTTTTTGTAAGTTTACTTAATATTTACACAGTGAACACCCGTGTAAACCGGAATCACACCGTAACGAATTAGTTTCCGTCTTGGCAGATTTGAGTTTCGAACAGTACAAGTTTTTTAGGACAAGCAGAAACTGTCATAGGCAAAATTTATTTTTAAGGCCCATTTAAAGAACAATGGGAATAGAGGGTGAACTTATAGGTCTCCAATTATATGAACGATTTTTTATATAGAAACAGACAGTAAACACACAATAAACTAACAAATAAAGATCGAATTTTTATTCATGTGCATGTTTTTTCCTTGAATGCTAAACATCAATATAATAAGATTTGGGTCGAGTAGACCAAATTAAAGTTATCTATTAATGCATATAAAATACGCCTTTATGATTTTTATGCTTATTTTGTAGATTTGATAATTTTCAGGACTAAATAAGTGCTTCACAAAGACTTTATAGCTTGTTTGCAAGTGTTATTTATTTTTTCCAATGATCTGTAGTTTCTCTCTAGTGCCCTTTGTTTGTCCGGTCCTGCTTATAGTAAATCTAGAAGAGAATGGCTAGGTCAGCTGAACACTAGATCACTGACCATGGTTCGTTAACATGCACCACTAGCTAATGGATAGTAGTGCATGTTAACGAACCATATCTTAAACGGCCGGATGGCCAAGAAGTTACGGTTGCATCCTACGGTCACTTACGTACCCGTAGAAAGTCACAATTGTCACAAAATACATCCGTGTCAAGGACCCTTCACTCTTTTCTGCTGATTTTATCTTCGCTACGAGCTCCCAAACTCTTTGACCGATCTGGACCAAATTCCGAACTAGGCGTAGTTCTCTCGTACTAGGCGAAACATGTACTACCATAAAACTCAAACCTCTAATTTCCTCCCCATAAATTGCGAAACCTTTTGATTGATTTGCATAAAATTTTGGATATTTACTATCTGCCACCTTGCAAGAAATATACTGTTCTAACTAGGATACCTAATCCCTTGCTTTACTTTGAAAAATTGAATGTCAACAGTAGAAACTGACCAGATATTAAAATTTACAACCGAAATATGCCCGAAGAAAATAATATAATATAATAATAAAATTACCAACCCCAAAAGGGGTACAGCTACGCCCAGCGCACACTCTGAATACACTAGAATTCACTATCGAGCCTACACAATGGACACATTAAAAGACTCTTGCACTTGTTAGTGCCGCAAGGAAGAAAATTTTAAAAAAATGCTCTCAAAGTTAAAAATTTTATAGTTATAAAATCACACCGAGTAGTATATATATATCATAGCATCTTTCATTTCAATGATTTATTAAATATATAAATGTCTTAACTCATTTGTGGATCGTTAAATACAAAGGTTAATTATTATTTTTATGTTAATTTACGTATCATGTAATTACTACTTCATACTTTATAAGATAATTCATTATTAATGCAAAAAAAATCAAGAGAATTCGATTAATGAAGTATTCTCATATCTTTCCATTCAAAAGGACAAACAATTAAAAAAACTTCTGTTAAAAATAAAATAATTAACTTAATTGATAAACTAATTGACAATCATCAAAGCACGCGGATAATTAGTTTTATTTCGAATAAATAACTTTTAAGTTTAAAGAAAAACTGTTTTGTGTGACAAAAACACAGAAAAAGTTCATCTTTCGGTCAGTGGTAAATGATTAAGAATTATACAAACGACTACTTGCATTAGTTCATTAGTCAATCTAATGGAACCAATAAATCTTTTATTCGCGAATTTCTATAAAATAAAATTCAAATTTAATTAGTAAAATGATTGTAAAATTAATTTCGGAGCGAATAAAAAGAATTATTCGAAACTGAAAATCAATTAAATTTCAAATTAGGATTTACTTTGCAGCGAAAATTTATTCGGATAATTTCAATAACAAAAGATAAATTTAATAAATTCGGAGAAAAGGCCAACAGGTTACAATCTCCGTATAAACTGGATTAAAGAAGAAGAAGAAATTTAATAAATATGTGAATTAGAATTTGGAATTTCTGTAAAAAATCAAATTATTTTATTGGCGCGTGATTACGATTATAAATGATCGAATGATTTTAATAAATATTAGATGAATAGGTTTTTATGGAGGAAATTTCAGAAAAATATTCGTAATCAAATGTTTGGTCTCAGATATTATTAATATTCTAGTAAGATTAATTGTATATACGATTGTCCGATGGCAATAGTACTTACTTTTTAATTAATTTGATTGCTTTTAATTAAAAGCGCATACGAAAGAATATTGTATTTAAACGACTTATTAATCCGTCAAATAAAATAGAAATAATATTCTGGTTAGACAATAGAAAAATGGTCATACCTGAGAACACTTTCTGGTTTTCCTTTCTTAACAAAGCAAAAACAATACTTTTCTATCGTTGTGTTGTTAAAACGAAAGAGAATTTACATATTTACACAATGAACCCAATAAATTTATTATGTTACAATCTTCTTGCG